CTATTCTGTAATATTCTTTGGACTCGGGCAGACATGGCTGTGGCAGCATGCTTGTCTGTTTTCCCATTCTTGCCTATTCTGTAATATTCTTTGGATTTGGGCAGACATTCTAGCTCTGGCAGCATGCTTGTCCACTTCCCACTTTTGTGCTTTTGAATATATGCCAAATAAAACTTTCTTTTTACTTAAAAAAAAAAGGAGTAGAAGAGAAATTCCTCAATATAATTAAGCGCATTTATACAAAGCCAACAGCCAACATCATCCTAAATGACTGAGACTGGAAGAACCCCAGAAAGCATGGCCCCCGACTCTCTGTCAACCCAGAATTAAAACTATTCCCGAGGCCAACTCTTCAGACAAAGATCGGACTGGACTGTGGGACATAAAGGGATACTCATGAAGAGTGTGCTTCTTAGCTCAAGTAGATACGTGAGACTAAATGGGCAGCTTCCCTCTGGAGGTGAGATGAGAAGGCAGAGAGGGTCAGGAGCTGGTTGAATGGACACAGGAAATCGGGTGGAAAGGAGGAGTTTCCTGTCACAGTATAGGGAGAACAATTAGGGTCACATAACAATGTATGTATAAATTTTTGTACGGGAGACTAACTTGAATGGTAAACTTTCGCTTAAACTACAACAATAAAAAAAAGTGAGAAAAAAGAATGAAATTTTAAAATATTTATACATTTTTCAGGTTGTATAACAGTTAAGTGTTTGATTGCTAACTAAAAGGTTATCAGTTTCAACCCACCCAGCTGTTCAGCGGGAGAAAAACCTGGAGATCTGCTCCCATAAAGATTGTTGTTGTTGTTAGGTGCTGTTGAGTCGATTTTGACCTATAGCAACCCTGTGACAGAGTACAGTTACCCCACAGGGTTTTCTAGACTGTAAATTCCTCACAACTCGACCAATAAGCAACATCATGATAAATGGAGAAAATATTGAAGTTGTCAAGGATTTCATTTTACTGGGATCCGCAATGCCTGTGGAAGCAGCAGTCAAGAAATCAATCAACATATTGCTTTGGGCAAATCCGCTGCAAAAGACATCTTTAAAACGTTAAAAACCAAAGATGTCACTTTGAGGACTAAGGTGTGCCTGACCCAAGCCATAGTATTTTCAATCACCACATATGCATGTGAAAGCTGGACTGTGAATAAGGAAAACCAAAAAATTGATGACTGAATTTGGTGTTGGCAAAGAGTATTTAATATACCATAGACTGCCAGAAGAACGAATAATTCTATCTTGGAAGAAGTACAGCCAGGGTGCTCCTTAGAAGAGAGGATAGCGAGACTTCATCTCACATGCTTTGGACATGTTATTAGGAGGGACCAGTCGCTGGAGAAGGACATCACGCTTGGTAAGGTAGAGGGTCAGCAAGAAAGAAGAAGACTGTAAATGAGATGGATTGACACAGTGGCTGCAACAATGGGCTAAAACATAGGAACAATTGTGAGGATGGCACAGGAGCAGACAGTGCTTCCTTCTGTTGTATGTGGGGTTGCTATGGGTTGAAATCAACTCCACAGCACCTAACAACAACATCTACTTTTCCACTCTCACAGAGTTAATGGGTAAAACTGTGAGGGAAAAAAATCCACCCCCACACCCCTCCCTACTATTTATCCTGATTAACCTCGTTCGGTAGTTCTGGATCCTCGAATCTAGGCCTTTGTTTCCGAAAAGGTGAAAGGGAACTTACTTTTGTGAAAAACACACCTATTGTATGACAGCCGCTTTATCTGCTTTATCCCATTTAAGTTTCACAAGCCCAAGAGAGATATATTATCTTCATTTCACAGAAAAAATTAAGACTTAGGTGACATTAAGTAACTTTCCCAGTCACCCTCAGGGCTGGAATTTGAACTGTCTAATGCCGGCTCAGTCTCTTCTTGCACCACTCTCTTCTCATCCCACTGCCCGTGTATGATCCTGGGCTGGACCCGCCAGGGAATTTGCTGAGTTTTTTTTATGTCGTTATTTTTTTTAGAAAGGAACAGAATATTTCACCCGCTCTATGTGTACATTTTTCAAAGAACTCCTGTGCAAGGAAACAAATCCAGAGAATGTCAGCTTGTTTAATATATATCCCTTCA